TATGTGGAAAATAATGTGTTTTTTGAACCTTAAACTGCATAAACACATTTCATTACACCAAATACACAAAATAATGTTCTTTTTAGCAGCATCATATGACCCCTTTAATATTTTGGCTTTCATGACTATTACATGTTTATCTTCCTTCAAAAAAAATATTGACAAAATCAAAAATTTGAGCCGGGGAAGTTTCTGAAATTTGGTTGATTTGACACGGAATGACCCTATTGTGGTGGTGTTGTTTAGGGCTGGGACAATAAATCGGTGCATCGCGAATCGAGAAATGATTGCATCGATTCTGAGATTTTCCGAAGGCATCGCAATTCTCTCTTGAATCGATTCTGAGCTTAGTTTTTAACAGCAGATGGCACTGCGTGCTTTAGAAATAGCCATATTCTGCTTGCTTCCAGTTCCTTACAGGCACCATTTGAACCTAAAATAATAATTCATAAAGGTCAAAAAGGTTGAAGCGAATTACAAGGATGTTCACAGTGGGCTGTGTTTACATTAATCTCGCATCATAAAAGCCGATGTGCAAGTACATTTAACCACTTGCATTACTCAGCCGAACGCACAAGCACTCTTCTTCGTGAGCATTTGAGTGTGTGGTTAAAAACTAGCCTAGAGCGCCATCTGCTGTTAAAAACTAAGCTCAGAATCGATTCGAGAGAGAATCATGATGCATTCCGATAATCGATCCACGAATCGCGAAGCATCGATTTATTGTCCCGACCCACTGTTGCCCACAAAGTACGCCCAGTTACAAAAATCGGATGGCACACGTACCATTCTGAAGACGAAATTTGCATCACGCGCACTGTACACGGACCCTTGCGTATGTGTAAAGACTGAAGTATACTTTGGCCTTAAGTTGTTCTGTTGCTTTCAACACCTTCTGATGTTCGTTTTTGTTTATTTGCTGCTGTAACTAGTAGTAAAGAGGAAGAGCTGATCGGTTCACATGAAGCTACGGTGATCTGTTGCGCCACATTAAAGAGCCTCAAAACCACATTTATTGTTTGAATTTTGTGATTAAATTAACCATTTGGAAGCTTAGACTCTGTTTGATATTAAAAGTAACAAAGAACAAGGCTTATTGCAATTGTTGGATTGTAGGTGCTACAAATAATGTTTGGTGAAGTTCACGCATCAACTGAAAACAGCACAGACTAAAAGATTGTTCTTGAGATTTAAGAATCCCTATCAATATTGATTAAAAACGATAAATGGATATTGTTAATCCAGTACTAGCATCACACAGCTGACATGTTTATCTGTTGTAGTTTATCCACGTTGTGTGAAATAAACACTTACAGTTAAAACACCAAGGAGAAACACTAATTAAATGTCACCGTTTCAGTCAATGATTTAGGCGCTCCAAAATTATTTCAGCTGGAACTGAAAATTGCTGTTTCTGTTGAAAATGTTCAGTTGCCGAAATTTTGGTGCACCACTACATTTAATTATTCAGCCAATAGCAAGATTTCAGTTCAAAACAAGATTTTTGAACACCCTGATCTGTGTCTCCAGTGACCGCGGTGCATCCAGCTCCAACGGGTCCCACCACAGCAGCTCCAGGGTGGAAACGCCCACATCTTACATGGAGGATGATGAGGAGGAGGAGGACTTTGATGATAATGATGATTAGGACAGGTTTAGAGCTGCTGAACAGGATGAATTCAGAGTTTGAGCTCCTGAACCTGTTGCTGGGATCATATGCAGATTACATTTGTTCCCTCAGTTCTTGTTGAAACTCCATATGGTGATCCTGCTGTAAGGATTCCCTCAAATGCTTCCCCATAATTCTTCAGCTCAGTCTATTATCTTCAGTAGCTTATGAGCAGATAAGCTCAATTGATCGCCTTTGTGCTGCTGCTCCTGCTGGCGGCTGTAACTTAAGGGCTACTTTTGAAGAAACTCCTGCAGTGAGAGTTACACAGGGACTTCTAACACTGTTTGCTGAGACTGAATTTTCTACCCTGTTTTGTTGTGATTTGTTCTCATAGGCAGCTATTTTTGATATTGGAGCTTTTTTGGACATTTGTCATGGCAGATGATGCTCTGATCACCACAGCTCTTTGATCAAAGACGCTATCAACATGAGATCAACACGTCTTGACAGATCAACAACTCCCAACAAATATCTGGCCTTTTTTGTACAATGTATCAAATACTAAAGAAAATATAGTTTTCTTATTCATGTATAGAAATTAAACTGAAAGAATGGTTTATATGATTGTGTGGTTGTTTCTTGTGTCTGAGTGATGATGTGAGTTGTGCTCACAGTGGAATTGTGGGAGATGTTAATGAATGTACAATTCTAATTTCATTAGCAAAATATCAAACCTGCAAGACCCTCCTTATTTAAAATATTGAGAAAATAAAATGAAAGTTAAATTGCAAACAATATGATTCATATAGTCCAGTAATAGTGTTTTCATGTGTAATAATTTATTTTTTATTTATTTACTTTTTCCATCACTGATCACCTTAATCACATGGTGAAAATTAAAATGATTTTACAGTTAATGTCCGTTTAATCCTTAAGGGAAGAGAAATATTTGTCTTCATAATCTTTAATCTGCATGTAATAATTTGCTCCTCTGAAAAACATCTACATATAAAGAATTGTTAACATTGAATCATTTAATTGTGGATAAAACACAATCATGCCCACATTTTATTTTTCTCATTGAATATTTACGGCATTAGAGTAATTTCTCAGGCAAAAAAGGTTCATTAGCTATCGTCAATAGTGTAGTGATGCATGATGAAGCACTGCTCACACAGAAGTCACTTCAAACCAAGCAGTTTTCTGCTGGTTACTGTGGTGAATTCATGTGACCAACTTAAACCTGTTGCAAAATCTGCATGTGCAAATCCTTTGTCCCTTATGCAAAATTCCCCAAAATGTGGTTTCCTATTGACATGACTGGATTTTGCCCTTGAAAATTCACTGAACAATGGTAAATGTGACCGCATCTTAAGGCACAAAGTTTCTTTCCAAAACCTTTACTCTCTTTGATCCTCTGTGATTGAATAGTGCAGTTGTACAGATTACATTGCTCCTGGAGTGGTCAAGATGGTCTACTGGCTCAAACCAGGCTAACCAACTTGTAGTTCAGCTTATCAACCATATTGACCAGCTAATGGCAATAATTACCAGCTGGGATTTTGAAGCAGGATATGAGCCTCTTTTGTAATTCAGAATACTGTTGATCATCTTCATCCAGCTTTTCTTGTTTGATGTGTTGAAGGCAATCACAACATCCTTTTGTTATGGCCAAATAAAAAGTGTTATTAGTCATAATTCTGCAATATTTTCCATGATTCATAGATTTATTACCCTGGCGATGTTAATAAGTCTTTGCAGTTGAGTGTCTACATGAGCATCTGAATGAAAATAATGATCCAAGTGGTTCATACTGTATGTATTTAGTCACTCATGTTCTGCAGGACCTCTATGACTAGATGTGCTTGAATCATGTGTTGAAGTAATTCTGAACTCTGAATTCTATTATGTCTGGAGTGTCATTGTGTTGGTGAGTGATGTTCTCGCTCCATCAGTGAGAGGTGTTAACCTGAGGAAGGTATTATAGAGTTAGAGGATAAAGCCTTATGAAAGATGTTGAGTCAGGTGGATCTGTCTGTGTGTTACAAGGCTTATCGTTCACTTTGCCATCAGACTCCAGACGTTGTGCTGCTGGATCGATCGGTCACTGTCCGTTCCTCTGCATCTGGACCCCCAGGGTCTCATGATCTAATCCCACACATCTCCAGTGAGGACCGTGGCCTCTCTAGTCTCGTCCAGTCTCACGGCGCTGAGCTTCAATGCTCACGCTGTGACCCTTCAGCTGCCAGTCTTGTCTTGTTCTCCCTCCGTCAGTCCACGTTCAGCTTCTTCACCTTGCCATGGACATCGGTGGCCTGACTACGGTGGTGGCCAACTCGGCGTACATCTCGGCCCGTGGCAGTTTCGATGGCACAGCCAACCCGGCGGCCAACCGAGACAAGAAGTACCACGCCAAACTCAAGCTGCCCCACATCACTGTGTGTGAAGATCTGAGGGAAACTCTGGATCTGCAGTTTAAGAGCATTTGTGTGGAGCAGCCCATCGGCAAACGGCTGTTTCAAGAGTACCTGGAAATCACCAATGAGTACAAGGGACCGTGTCGCCTCTGGAAGGACATTGAGGCATACGACACCGCCGAGGATAAAGATCGGGCTCAGAAAGCCGCCAAAATCCTCCAGCGTTACATGGAGCCTTCTGCCAAGCTCTTCTGCCCGTTTTTACCCGAGAATGACATCACCAAGGTGAAAGAACGGCACGGGGAGGCAGTGGATGACCTGTTTGTGGAGATCCTGGCCAGTGTGTTTGACTTCCTCAAAGAGGTTCCCTTCACGTTCTATCTAGAGACCATGTACTTGAAACGCTTCTTGCAGTGGAAGTGGCTGGAGATGCAGCCGGTAGCCGAGGACTGGTTCTTGGACTTCCGTGTTCTGGGTAAGGGTGGATTCGGAGAGGTGTCCGCCTGTCAGATGAGGGCCACAGGGAAGCTGTACGCCTGCAAGAAGCTCAACAAGAAGAGGCTGAAGAAGAGGAAAGGCTATGAGGTATGAAAGCAGCTCGTTGCCTTTGGTTGAGATGAATTATGAGGCTCTTTCTTGGGAAAAGGTGCCATTGTCATCCAAAGGACTTACTACTGATAGAATGAACAGAACACTGTTCAAATTATTGGAAATCTAAAGTTAATGAGTTTGAAATAGGTTTAGTGAGGATAAATGACTATTGGTGCCCTGCTACTTTGGGCCTGAAATGGATAAATATTATGTCTAGAAAGTTTAGCAGTGACCTTCACAAAACTAGCGATGAAATAATGACATGAGGTCAGTCACACCCACACTATGAATCATGGCAATTCTTTAGCATGATTGTTTTATTATTGCTTGTTTTCCAGGTACTGTTGATATTTTTTTTTTCAGCGTCTTTGGCCTTGTAGTATTTGATTTATAGCAAAAACGTTTGAGCTGCTTTTCCCACAAAGTTTCTGATCTTCACCAAATTTGGCACTGATAGTCTTTAGAACCTTTCTGATACAATAAATTACACAGATAATTGATAATGTAATATTATGGTGTAATATTAAGGTTATATTAAGATACTATTCAAAAGCATGTGTTTTACATCTAGTGAATTCACCTGGGCGATCACTTGTAAAAAATTAAATCAAAACCAAACATTTTTAGGCAAAAATGGCACCTTTTGCTGATTTTTTTATGGGTCAAGGTGTGTTTTTGAGAAGATATCAGGTTAATGGATATGTATTACTAGAATGATAATGGTAACGCTTAGATAACAGGATGTGGATCCTGATTGACATGTTGGTTTTGTGCGATTAAGCAGCTCAGACGTGACATTGATGATGAAGGTGAAGGCTTTACTGCGGGCAATATGCTTTACTAGAGCTTCACTCCTACAAAACAGTCCAGTTTTAGATCCCAACGAATGAAATGTCTAAACATTCAGAATTAGTTTGTTCTTTTATCAGTTTTGGACTGGTAACTGTTTCTGTTGGAATAAATAAATAAAAAAATGCCTGTGATCATAAATCTCTGGCATCATGTTCATAAATCAAAGCATCATGTTCCTCATTCATTCTTCATCAGTATTGATCAGTTCTCATGTGTTTAAATGTCTGACTCTGACGTGTCCATAAACATCAGTCAGTTGAGTGAACAGTGCTGTGAACCACAGGCAGTATTAGAGCTGATGAAACTTTAGCGCTTTGGCCTTCAGCTCATTAGGAAATGCAAGTCCAGCACATTTAATTATGGAACAGATTTGTTGTGGAAATCCTGGACAGGAAGAACCCTGGAGATGATACTGACTGTACCTGTGTCCATGTGTAAATGATGAACACTGTCCATCAGATGATTCATGTTAACAATTACCTCATTTATACTTAAAAGCTTGAAAACAATGTTTACAGACAAAGCACTGTGCTGTTTGTGAACATTCACTCAAGCATCATTAATGGCGTGTTTCTTCTGTTAGTCATTGGTTGAGAAACACAAAACGGCGAAATGCATCCTGCATAGTCCATAATGCGTAAAATAAAACAAGTAAAACTAGTGCTACTTGAATGTATGCATTAATCTGTAAAAAATATGCTTTTCTGTACTGTGGGGTCCAAATGTTAAATTATCCAAATGCATATTTTTTTTAATGAAATTTTCCTTCTAAATTATATTAACAACAATTTGACAGAAAAAAATGAAGATTATCCTTCACACTAATGTTGTTCTGTTCTCACAGGGTGCCATGGTGGAGAAACGGATCCTGGCTCGAGTTCACAGTAGATTCATTGTGTCACTGGCTTACGCCTTCCAGACCAAAACAGAACTGTGTCTGGTGATGACCATCATGAATGGAGGAGACCTCAGGTATGGATCATGACAATTCTTTAGAATGACTATGTTGTTATTGCTTGTTTTCCATCTAGATGTTTTTCTGGGCATCTTTGGCCTTTAGTGATTGAATTAGATCAAAACCATTTGAGCTGCATTTCCCACAAAGTTTGTCTGATCTTCACCAAATTTGGTACAGATAGTCTTTAGAACCTTTCTGATAAAATTAATCACATAGGTATTTGATATTCGAAAGCATGTGTTTTGAACCTAATGAATTCACCAGTGGCCTGTGGCTCGACGCGAGATGAACAAACTGAGTAAGTTTTGAGTTGACAAAACCTGACAAATCCAACCCGGTTTAGATCAGGATCAGCTGTTGCACAATGCTCAGTATAAACGTTCTCTGTCAACTCAGGTTGGATCCAGAGTTTCTGAGGCACGTGCACCTGAAAGTGTGATACATGCGGCAAACAGAATCACACGGAACATGGAAAGCATCAGTTTGATTGACTTCTCGCGAGAGTCAGCGCAATTCACTTCTCTGTTGAAGATGAAGAGATTGTTATGAAAAAATACCATGAATTGAAACACATTTACAAGGCAGGAATAAACACTGCTGGGCAGCTACTGACTATATCAATGCAAGTGAATCAACTGAATTGAAATAATTTATATTAT